GTAGGTGGACACAACTGGAGTTAAGGTTGAGGAACGTCTTGCACCGTTTGCGTACAAAGTGAGTAGGAAATACACCCCACCCCTTTTTTTCCCCCTGCAGGGTAAGTTTCTGGCTGCGACCCTGCATAGCAGAGCCGAGTGATGTAATCAGTCGTCAATAGAAAATGACTACTTGTTCGAACAAACAACAATTATCATAACCACTAAATGGAGGACTGTTTAGAAACAATTTCCGGCAGGCACCCCACACACCACATCTTTCTATATATCCCACCAGCCCATCGCGAGGTAGAATCCCGGGGCAGAGGCATTCTACCTGACAAAACAGGAACACCCAAGTTGGTCAAGATGCTGTGTGGAGTGTGTCTGTTGTGAATAGTGTAAATCTATGTTATAAAGATCAGCAGTACCACAGGAAGCGATTTGTGACACTACAGTGGATGTACAAGAAAGTGGTACATCCAACGGCATTGAGCTTTATTTTGTCAAATAAAAGAACAAAATAAGAAGAGAAAAAGAAGAGTATTTTTGCAGTCGTCTTGCTGCTAGTAGATTCTTGCAGTAATCTTGCTGCTGCCACCCTTTATAAGCATGCTGAGCTACAATGTCAAACCTCAGCAACGTACTGAGCTATCTTGAACAGGGTGTCGCTTTCCTTGGTCTTGATGTTGCAAGGAACATTGTTGTGACACAGCCAGGCAAGCAGCATAGCAGAGTTCACCTTGTTGAGCATGTCAAACTGGAACCAAAAGCATATAATTAGCATTGTTAATTTGTTTACTGCTAAGCAGGTGTGCACCTGGCTTACTGTTGATAGTTTTCTTGGAGTTCATTTAGGAGCAAGTTAGCTAAGGACCTTGGTAGTTTCAGAATATTCTATCATTTAATCGCTGTTTCTATGCGATCAAAAAGTGAAGTCTTCCACAAATTGACTGCACTAGACGGCATGAAGTGCTCGAGTTAGATAGAGTATCTGTTTATGCCCCCATTCCAAGAGTGTGCTATATAACAAAATAGAGTTTGCAATGCAGAAGATCAGGGTTGTAAAAATGAGGATATGTCTAAAGTACAGGTTGTAAATGACGGATTGAAACATGCACACATTGTATGAATTGGAATAAGCGCCTTGGAACATTGTGGTGTCATCCATAGGTAGAACCCCATGAATGGGGTGTAATGCATCCCATGTACTCAATGTTTTTTTCATAGTTTTGCTGCATGTGAGTGCACTGCTGCTCATTTTTATAAGTTTCTTGAAAGCGAAGGATGACTTTCACTGCCATACTACTAATAGATTTAAACAAAAGAAAATAATAGAATGCTTTACAGGCACTTCTAAAAGCAATGTAATGCCCTCGGCTTGCTTCGCCAAACCAGCTTTTCACCTTAGCATCGAAGCTTGGTCGTGTTGGTTGAACATTCGAGATACACAGCGTAATAAAAGAAGTTTAGGGCAAGGAAGCACTGTGTGTGTTTTGCCTTGCGTTGTCAGAGTGATCTTTTGTGCGGTCTTCCTATCAACGTTTCATGCATAGCACAGCTACACCAATGGTAACACCAGAGTCCTTGTAACACTGAAACCATTGGCGACTCGCTGCAGTTACCACATGGTTTTGCAGCAAACAAATTCATGTTTACTAGCCATTACGCATTAGTACATCAGATTAATACATTTATATTTCGGCTGTCAGTACTTATATTTTGTTTGTTGGTTTTGGTGCAAAAAATAGCTGTCTTTTCTGCCTAAATATAAGAGTTTTTACAATAGGCAGTTGTCATGTTGGAAGGTCAAAGTGCTTCAAATAATAACGGGTGTACAAGGGCTAGACGAAATTGTCTTTTTTTGGGGGGCGGAGGGGTTCCTTTATTTAAAGTGGGGGCTGGCCAGGCAAACGTGTGCGAGTGTCATTTTGTACTTTGTACGGATGGCTGGATAAACTTTATTGGATCCTTTGGAACGAGGCGGCCGCTCCCCGTCGGAATAGAAGACCAAAGCTTTTTGCTGCTTCGCGGCCCGTTGGACTGCTCATGACCGTTGTTAAGGAGTATTCACACAGAAGGAAAGCCTCGAGTATTGTGCATAGAATACTGCCAGTATATTCTAGGCACTATACCTTGGGGGAGACGCGGGGATTGCGGATCACGTGAGAACGACGTCACGGATTAGCGACTGCGTGCGTCTTCCCCGCGCCGCCTCGAAGACGACGGACCTTTTCTCCGACAAATTTATTTATTTATTTATTTAATCCTCAAAGGCCACCCAACAGGGCTTTACATGAGGGTGTGGCAAACAATTATGGGTTATAAACAATGATTCTATGGCATTTTTAAATCTATCCGTGTTGCTATGATGGATGACACTTGGGGAAGATCGTTCCAGTCCCTGGCTGCTTGAGCGAAGAAGGAGTGATGGTGGGCTGTGGTACATGCGGGGGGTACACGGCCTTGTGGTGGCTTGTGCGGGCTGAAGTACGATGAGCTGATTGAATGGGACAGTTGTAATGAAACGTATGATACATTTTGTGATACAAGGATAGTCTGGAAACCTTACGGCGTAGGTCAAGGTTAGGTAGATCTGCTATTCTTTTAAGGGGGTAACACTGGTATGATACGAGTAATCTGAGTAGATGATCTAACTGCTCGTTTTTGAATTAGTTCGATGGACTTACTTAGGTTAATTTGGAATGGGTCCCAAATGGCGGATGCGTACTCTAGTTTGGGCGAATTAGTGTTTTGTAGGCTAGTAATTTGACTGATGGAGGGAATGCAAGTTACGACGAAGTAACCGAGAGCTCTGTTAGCATTGTTACTATTTTACTACATGAAGACCAGTTTAGATTCTGTGAAATGTTAACACCGAGATATTTAATGGAACTTAGGGAAGAACTATGGAGCCATTAATATTATAGTTAGTGGTGGGTAAGTTTTGGCGTCTGTGAAATGAAATAAGTGCAGTTTTATTATTTAATACCATGAGCCATTTGCGACACCACTCGTCCAGCTTTAGTAGTCCTGCTGGAGAGTAATTGTATCTGAAACGTTAGTAATAGGTCGGTAGATTACACAGTCGTCGGCAAAGAGGCGGATGTTAGATGAAATGTTATCGGTAAATCATTGATGTAAATTACGAAGAGGAAGGGTCCTAGAACTGTACCTGTGGCACACCGGAGATTACGTTGGAAAGGAAGAGGGCGTATCGTTAGCTTCAACCAAATGCTGACGGTTAGTGAGGAAGTCCTGAATCCAATTGTACAATTGGTTAAGGCTTAATTGGGAGAGTTTTAGTAGTAGGCGGTTGTGGGAACTTTGTCAAAGGCTTTCTCAAAGTCAATAAAAGGGCGTCAACTGGTATGTTAAGGTCTACACTAGCGCTTAAGTCATGGATGAATAGTGCAAGCTGAGTATCGCATGAGAGTCCCCTTTGGAATCCATGTTGGTTAGGTGAAAAAATTTAACTGAGGTAAGGAAGCTAGCGATTTGTGAATGAATTATATGTTCCATTATTTTTGAACAGACGCTGTTAAGGAAATTGGCCGGTAACTAGATGAACCAGGCTTAGGAACCGAACGATCTTACCCACTTTCCAGTCGTGAAGAACGATGCCGGATGAGAGTGATTGCTGAAAAATATAGGAAAATGACACTGGTGATTTCTTGGTGTTTTTGAGCACCTTAGCATTTATACCATCGATGCCGCAGGATGATGCAAGTTTTAACGACTCTAATTTTCTGGATGCCCTGAGGTGAAAAAATGACGTCCGGCATGGTAGGGTATTTGTGGGGGAGACATCAGGGAGGTTTTCAATCGGTTCTTGGTGAAACGGAAGAAAAGGTATGGCTTAGTTCTTCTGCTACTGCATTATTCGCGATAGGCTGTCCAGTTGGATCCATTATTGATATGCATTTGTTTTCGTTTCGCGGGTTATCACTCTCCAGAATAGTTTCTGAAACTGAAACTAAATGAAACTACCCACCCGGCGGCAAGGGATATGTAGAATTTCGCGCAGCTGTTGGGCATTACTGTCGCACGTGCTGCGGGATCAGCGTTTCTATAGGCTAAGCTAAACGTTGTCCTGGATAGAGCCGCAATGCGCTGGTAGTTCCTTACTAACAGCTGGTGAAATGGGCGATACAAGCCACCAGAGTGGTCTGGTGACACTGGTTTGCCTCGAGCGGGGGAAATTTGCGAGCCCGTCCGAATGCCCCTTTATGGTATCTACTCGAATCTAACGCGCACCTTTTTTTCCGGTTAAGCTAGTTCATAAATCGCATGCGCGTTAGAATCGAGTACGAAAAAAAAAATATCTGGTCATTTTATTGCCATCAGCATTTCCAAAATGGCCGCCCCCTAAGTGCCGCCCGTGCGTCCGCATGACGCGTCTGCCATTTCTCGCCTATGTGTTTCCCTCGTGCGGCACTTCGTACGTGTGCTGAGGAGTTCGTCATCTAGTAGTGCATTAGCATCGACGGCATGGAAGGGCCGACTCCAAAACTCGAGGGCACCACAGTGCCACTTTTAAAAGAAAAGTCATCGCGTGTGCAGAAACGGACGGAAATCGCCACATCGCGGTCGTTCGGAGTTCCCGAACGTGCGTACGGGACTGGCGGAAACAAAAGCAGAAGATTGTCAAGCAAAGCTTCACGCAAAGGCTTCAGTGGACCACAGTAGGGTCGGTTTTCGCAAATTGAAGCTGCTCGGCGAGTATGCGCTTAAGCAGCGAGCGGCCCATGACGACAGAACTGCTCTAAGGGCGGTTATGCAGTTAGCCTTAGAAAAAGGGCTAATGCGGAGCCAGTTTGAAGTGAGCAGGTGCTGGCTAACTAACTTTACGAAGAGGAAAGGCTTCTCCCTCCGAAGGCGAACGGGCATCTGCGAAAGTTTCCGGAGGAGTACGATGAAAGCCTCACAGTTTTCAGAGGTTCGTCCTAAACTTGCGCCACGACAACGACTACCTGCTTGGGCAAATCGGGAATGCCAATCAGACGCCTCTTTGACAACCTGGCACCACAACCGTCGAGAAGGGGGCGAAGCAAGTTCGCGTGCTGACGTCGGTCCACGGTAAAACTACGGTGACGGCAATGCTCTGTTACACGTCAAGTGGGCACAAGCTTCCCCCGTACCTCATATTTAAATGGAAGACGCTCCCGAAAGGAGTCGTTTTTTCGAGTGGTGTGATCGTGCGGGCCAACGAGAAAAATGGGTGCGCGTTACGATCGAGGGCGCGGTAGAGTCGAGTAATACGGTAATACACCTCCCATTTGAACGACGTATATGACATCACGCCGAGCAGCGTCTGCGATGTTTCGCTGCCGTGTCGGTGTGTGGAGATCTGTGGCGGTATTCAGTTCTTGCAAAATTTAGTTCAAGCAAATGACTTCCACTGTGGCGTGTTCGTCCTGTGGCGACAGTCAAGTAATAAGATGTGCACCGGCGTAGCCAGGGGGAGTAGATGGCAGGGTTCATGGTCCCCCCACCCAGAAAAATTTCAATTTTGCATACGTATGTACACACGCACAAACATGCGGAAAGAGTGGTCGAACCCTCCCGTCGAAATTCTGGCTACGCTACTGGGGATACGGTTTGGTTTGTGTGTTAAAATGGTGCCCTTAGCAACAAACGGGACATTTTCCTGCGCGCGTGATGTACAGCGTAATTTCAATTGGGTGAGTGTCACCTTGTCTACTTGTTTTAAATGAACCTGATTTCTTCGCGTCATCTGACGCTGTTAAATGTCTTTTA